ATTATGTTTTCGAAACGTTTCTATTTCCTAGGTGACCAAAACAATACACCGAGATGAATTTTTGATCTTGTTCAAAACATGCCTTATCAATGTATCTGGAGTCTACTAGGACTTTATCCATGAACAATGTTGATGCTTAAACTTGTCTTACCATACCAAAATGTTATGCTTTTCTATGCTGTATGTAATAACATTTAGTTTTTATTTTTGAAAAATGCAAATAAAATGGCACTAATGGAGATCAGAAAATGCAAATAAACAGAATGTGCATTGTTCGATATGAATCAATCGGGGAAAATAGAACCCGTGGTGCTCACTCAAACTTGTTGGATAATGAGATTATCAGTCGTGCCAGTTATTCTTTGAAAACACCAAAGATAGGACCCTCTACTACATAATTTCAAGTAAAGTCCTTCAAGGAAAGTGCACACGCTGAAGCATATCATCTTTAGTGGGGAGGTTTATCATTGGATCTTTGTTCAAAGAATTCTACGAGCCCTCTGCTAGGAATTAAATTCCATCCAATAGGCGATAACAAGAGAACGAGAAAACTTAGACTCAAAAACACAAACACCACAAGAACACAGATTTAACTGGAAACTTGCGATCGGGGAAAAAAACATGACATGATCCATTGATAGCCCTACTTCAAGGTTTTGAAATAGCTTGAGGAAGTGGATCATTTAGGTGCAACCGCCGCGAGGTATGCCTCACGCATTGCTTTGAACTTGGTACTTAACCTGCCTCATGTGCACACACTGAAGCACATCATCTTTAGTGGGGAGGTTTATCATTGGATCTTTGTTCAAAGAATTCTACGAGCCCTCTGCTAGGAATTAAATTCCATCCAATAGGCGATAACAAGAGAACGAGAAAACTTAGACTCAAAAACACAAACACCACAAGAACACAGATTTAACTGGAAACTTGCGATCGGGGAAAAAAACATGACATGATCCATTGATAGCCCTACTTCAAGGTTTTGAAATAGCTTGAGGAAGTGGATCATTTAGGTGCAACCGCCGCGAGGTATGCCTCACGCATTGCTTTGAACTTGGTACTTAACCTGCCTCATGTGCACACACTGAAGCACATCATCTTTAGTGGGGAGGTTTATCATTGGATCTTTGTTCAAAGAATTCTACGAGCCCTCTGCTAGGAATTAAATTCCATCCAATAGGCGATAACAAGAGAACGAGAAAACTTAGACTCAAAAACACAAACACCAAAAGAACACAGATTTAATTGGAAACTTGAGATCGGGGAAAAAAACACGACACGATCCATTGATAGCCCTACTTCAAGGTTTTGAAATAGCTTGAGGAAGTGGATCATTTAGGTGTAGCCGCTGCGAGGTATGCCTCACGCATTGCTTTGAACTTAGTACTTAACCTATCTCGAGGTTGCCCGCATTCATTGATTACTGGATCATCTGAAAACTTCTCCATCCATGCTGATAAAAGTGGAAATTTCTCCGAGTCAATCACCTTTTGACCAGTTACCTCTTGTAGGACACTAATGAAATTAGCTATCCAACCAAATGCTAGATCCAGAAAATCAATTTTCTCTCCACCAAAGAAAATCTTCCCCTTCAGCTGCTCTTCTACCAATTTCAGGTTCTCCATAGCTGGATCAATTGCCTCTTCTTGCTTTGTTCCTTGTTTAATGAAAGTCTGCCATACTGAAGGCAAAAGTGGCATTCAAGAGAAAAACATAGGTAACTTTGTGAGCTCGTTAGAAATGTCAATCATAGAGTATGATTTCAAAGATTTCAACCCCTAGAGGTCGGATCTGGAAAGATGGTAAGTACTAATCTGCCCATATGAGTCTTTGTGGGTTCAAGTTCGAAAGTCGGCCGGTGTTAGACAACCTACAACCCTCTCTCCCAGCTGCTATAGGCATTAGTTTTGTGTACTCGACAATCTTTTTGTTTATATGCAAGAAGTTTATGTAATGAACTAAGTTGTAATGAAATAGGTTGCCTAGTGCAGTAGTAAAAGTGTCAGATCAACAACCGTAATGTTGTGGGTTTAAATTTGAGGATACCAATTCATTTGAAATTGTAAAATTAGGTTGATATCTGGTCCACCCTCCCTCATTGAAGTGTACTCATTAACATGAGAGATGTTAATTATGAAATTGAACTTAAGCAAATATATCAAAGCCTTGATTGTTATTTCTTGTTCAGGGCAAGTCAACCTATATCTGTATGAGAACTGTGTTTGTTTACNGTGCTAGGACTTGGACAATTCAATAGCAACTGTGGTTATTAGAATCCCAATCCTGATCTTATGATCCTACAATTGGATGTTCCAAAGATATCAAATCGATCTGGACTGGGCATATGAACCTGAAAAGTAAAATCCTTATGGAATTTGGATTCGAATTGCTTGAATTGTTGGATCCCAAGATGAATCCTGATTGTACTTGATGGCCTTACAATNCTTCTGTCACGAGAATAATCTCGGAGTGTGAAACTGCATTAAAATTCCTGAATCGCGATCTTGGAATCCTTTCGGCTTCTATTGCTCGTGAGCAAGGTGAGGAGATCACTTTGTGAAAAAATCTGTATTTTATATGGAATCTACCAAATAGTGCTTTTTCCTTGTGGAATTGAAATCACTATCTGCTGTCTTAAAAAACAATGATTGGATTGANAATCTACCAAATAGTGCTTTTTCCTTGTGGAATTGAAATCACTATCTGCTGTCTTAAAAAACAATGATTGGATTGAAATGAAGCATAGTTTATTTACTTGTTTCTTATTTCTCAAACATCGAGTGCTGAATCTTGCTTTGATATTGGTAGTGAATATGTTGCCATGTAAGCTTTGGGTCTCAATTGATTTGGGAGATTCTCTTCTCAGGAAACACCAAAATATAGCCCCTGCTTCCACAAGTTTTTTTTTTAATTACTTTCCATACTGCATACTATCCATTATGGCTATGAATGTGCGAAGCCAACTTGATTAAGGTGTAAGCTTTGGAAGTAAGTATTGTAACCTTAAATGAACATGGCGTTGTCTAGGCTGAATGAAGGCTGAGGTCCTGCTCGATAAGCTTGCGAAGCCAAAGCCTAGCTTAGTACTGTTACTGTATGAGTAGGAGAGATCTTATCTTAAGAACGTAGGTATTCTCTCTACATAGAGGTTATTTGACGGTTCCCTTAAATAGCTACATCTTTGGGTTGAAGCTATGGGTAATGTGAAGGTTTCATCCTATAATTGGTGGAGAGGTAGACCGATAATTTCTCAACTAAAATTGTGGGCTAAATATGATATGGCGCTGTGATAGTATCAACGATATATAAATATGACCATGAACAATGTCAATATATAAGTTTTGAATTGAAGATTTCTTTCTTTTGACTTTTCATAATATAGTGATAGCCATGTGGAATGAATTGAAATCTAGTGTTTAATAAAAATCATTAGTTCTTTTTTTAAATATTGGTCATTAAGTTGTAATATGAGTTTTAGATTTGTCATTTATTCAAGTAATTAACTTGAGTTTCTGTTAATACTTATGTGGAAAAATTATGTGTTGCTTTTTGTCATCATAAATGCATACATGCAATTGTTAATTGTGGTCAAAACGTCATTAATTCAAGGATTTTTTATGTTAACCTTTCAAGCATATCTAGGATTTACTCTTCACCATATCATCTCGAGTTGGAGTAAATATTCATCAACAGTAATACCACGTCATTATGACGATTGAATAACAACAAATCATCTAAGTTAAAATGTAAAGTTGATATTAGGGTTTATTAGAGAAAGAACAAGGGAGGAAGAGAAGGGGGGGGGGGGAAGAGATTGAAAGAAATACAATATTACCCTAAGTTAGTTTATGCTCATAAATATAAATATAAAACATAAAAATAAGCTCTAACCCAAGGATTAAAATTTTGTTTCGGTGTATTGTTTCGGTCACTTAGGAAACAGAAACGTTTCGACGTGTTTTGTAAACGTTTCGACCTGTTTCGGAAACATTATGAAAAAAATAAAAAATTTTAAAATTATTTTTTTAAAACATTGATTGAAATGTATCAAAATATCTTGAAATACCTTAAAACATTATGAAATAATTGTGCAAATATATTGAAATATTATAAAACATCTTGAAATATTATGGAATACCTCGAAATATTAGAAGTTCGATTCCATCACTGTTTCGTTTTGGTCTCCTTAAAAACGGAAACGTTTCGGACGTTTCGACCATTTCGAAACGATATTTTGATCCTTGATTCTAACATATACACATAATGTACATCATATGGATTATTAGTCATTGCTCATGCCTGAAGACATTATATAAAAAAAAAATTGCACTTGAAAGCAATGTATAGCAAAAAAAAAAGTCACCACTCAATATAGACCCACTATTCAAAATAAAATCGGCAAAATACACTATGACAACACGACCCTTGGATAATATCAATTTATGTACACAGTTTAAATAATAATAATCATAATAATAATAAGTACAAATTTTTATTTAAAAAAATGGCTCACGTCACCATCCTTCATAATGAAATCGAAGGAGCTGCAAGTGATGGAGATCCGAGAGAGGGAGGACAAAGAATTATAGAAGAGCAGTAGATAGGAGAGACATGACAAAGACGGAGACATGAGAGAGTGCAGTAGAAATGAGAGAGTGGGAGACGTGAGAGGGCAGTAGACGTCACGTGAGAGTGGACAACACTTAGGGCAAAAAAGAAAGACGTGTGAGATATATTGGCCCGGAACTTAATTTTCAGCAATGATTTTTAGCCATTAGATTGATTTTGGATTAATTTAAAAATTATCTGAACCGTGAAAAGCTAAAGTCATTTTTATGTCTTTGGAAATTTGAAATGCCTTGTATTTTATTATATAGATATACCCCAGAAAATCTAGATCTGAAGTTAATCCCAAGTAATCTTTTCTTACTATAAATGCTGATTCTAATCTTCATACAAGCCAACCTCATGCACACTTCCTGTCCCTCTCTCAAAGAACCATGCTATCATTTCACTCGTTTTTCTCCATATCTCTTGCAATAGCCATCATATTTGTCTCCAGATTCTCCATCACAGAAGCTAACAATGGTGGTTTCACTGTGGATCTAATACACCGAGACTCGCCAAAATCTCTATTCCACAACCCTTCTCTAACTCCTTCACAACGCCTGAACAATGCTTTGCAACGTTCATTTTCCCGTGTTCATCATCTCATGTCATTCTCTCCCCAATCAGCTTCAGCCAATGTAACCCCCAATGGTGGAGAATATATCATGAAGATATCCATGGGGACCCCACCGGTTCAAATTCCTGCAATTGTCGATACTGGTAGTGACCATATATAGACACAATGCAAGCCCTGTATTCGTTGCTACAACCAGAAGCCTCCTTTCTTCAGCCCAAACAGTTCTTCTTCATATAAAGTGGTACCTTGTGGTTCAAAACAATGCCTATCTTTTCCAAGAACTTCTTGCCTCCCAACTACGAATACTTGCCAGTGCTCGGTCAGTTATGGAGACAAATCTTTCAGTCGTGGAGATCTCGCCACTGAAACGGTAAAATTGGGTTCCACCACCCTCCATGACATCATTTTTGGCTGTGGACACGACAACGACAGCCCGTTTAGCAATGCTAGAGCTGGCATAGTCAGCCTTGGAGGTGGTCAAGTTTCGCTTATCTCACAGATGGGATCTCCCATTGGAGGCAAATTTTCTTATNAGTAGACGTCACGTGAGAGTGGACAACACTTAGGGCAAAAAAGAAAGACGTGTGAGATATATTGGCCCGGAACTTAATTTTCAGCAATGATTTTTAGCCATTAGATTGATTTTGGATTAATTTAAAAATTATCTGAACCGTAAAAAGCTANAAAAAGAAAGACGTGTGAGATATATTGGCCCGGAACTTAATTTTCAGCAATGATTTTTAGCCATTAGATTGATTTTGGATTAATTTAAAAATTATCTGAACCGTGAAAAGCTAAAGTCATTTTTATGTCTTTGGAAATTTGAAATGCCTTGTATTTTATTATATAGATATACCCCAGAAAATCTAGATCTGAAGTTAATCCCAAGTAATCTTTTCTTACTATAAATGCTGATTCTAATCTTCATACAAGCCAACCTCATGCACACTTCCTGTCCCTCTCTCAAAGAACCATGCTATCATTTCACTCGTTTTTCTCCATATCTCTTGCAATAGCCATCATATTTGTCTCCAGATTCTCCATCACAGAAGCTAACAATGGTGGTTTCACTGTGGATCTAATACACCGAGACTCGCCAAAATCTCTATTCCACAACCCTTCTCTAACTCCTTCACAACGCCTGAACAATGCTTTGCAACGTTCATTTTCCCGTGTTCATCATCTCATGTCATTCTCTCCCCAATCAGCTTCAGCCAATGTAACCCCCAATGGTGGAGAATATATCATGAAGATATCCATGGGGACCCCACCGGTTCAAATTCCTGCAATTGTCGATACTGGTAGTGACCATATATAGACACAATGCAAGCCCTGTATTCGTTGCTACAACCAGAAGCCTCCTTTCTTCAGCCCAAACAGTTCTTCTTCATATAAAGTGGTACCTTGTGGTTCAAAACAATGCCTATCTTTTCCAAGAACTTCTTGCCTCCCAACTACGAATACTTGCCAGTGCTCGGTCAGTTATGGAGACAAATCTTTCCGTCGCAGATCTCGCCACTGAAACGGTAAAATTGGGTTCCACCACCCTCCATGACATCATTTTTGGCTGTGGACACGACAACGACAGCCCGTTTAGCAATGCTAGAGCTGGCATAGTCGGCCTCGGAGGTAGTCAAGTTTCGCTTATCTCACAGATGGGATCTCCCATTGGAGGCAAATTTTCTTATTGCTTGGTACCAATGTCTGCCCAAAACACCAAGGCCAGCAAAATGAACTTTGGAGGCAGTGGTGTGGTTTCAGGGCGTGGGGTGGTTTCAACTCCAATAGTCTCAAAATCCCCACATGCTTTCTATTTCTTGACACTGGAAGGAATCAGTGTTGCAAACAAAAGGCTGGACTTTTACATGTCCTCAGCCTCATCAAATGCTTCTAAGTTAGCTCAGGCTGGTAACATCGTCATTGACTCTGGTTCAACCCTGACCCTCCTTCCACCGGATCTCTACAGCCGATTAGTCTCGGCCGTGAAAAGTACGATCAAGGCCCAACCGGTCAAGGATCCAAAATTGATGCTAAGTTTGTGCTACTCTAAGTTGAATTTTAGTTCCATACCTATTATTATTGTGCATTTCAGGGGTGGAGACTTGAAGATGAATCCATTGAACACCTTTGTTAGGACTAGCTTGTTTTCCATATACTTGGGTTTTGCCCCAGCTAGAGAGATTGCCATTTATGGTAACCTGGCACAGGTGAACTTTTATGTGGGCTTATGACCTAAAGAAGAAGATGATTACCTTTAAGCCTATGGATTGCCCCAAACAGTGATCAATATCAGACACAATTTTTTATCTTTGCAATTTTATATGCAGAGAATTTAGTGTGACTCTCTCTCTTCATCTTAATTAATTATGTTTGTCAATATGTAACCTAATAGTGATTTCTGCACCTAAAAGGGGCATAAAATTTTAATATGCCATATATTTATCACTTTTCCAGCAATTTTTTGCCAACGGAAATGATCACATG